TGTCTAAAAGGTATAACAAAACACAATAGAAGTGCAGACAATAGCAATTCAGTATACTGGAATGAGTAGTGGCTTAGCCCTAGAGAATGTAAAAGGCAGTAGACATATATAATAAAGGGGCATTAATATGCATTTATAGTAGTTTGTGACACATGATAACAGGCAATAGATCGCACACATAGCTTGCTTTCACATTTCACACCAACTGAGCACAAATCAAGGCATGATATGCACAAAAATAATAGAGAAGCCAGTGAGGGAGAAGGGATGGCTCACCAATGCACCCCCAGATCGAAGCTCCAACACTTCGAGGCCCTTTTGGATTTTCATGGAAAACCATATAGACACATATAAATAAATAAACTACAAAAAGAAGATGTTATATATTGTAGTACTAATTCCAATCGAGGCATGATTATATTACTGGAGGATGTTGAACTCAACGGGTTATATTCTTATTGATTCCTTCTGATTGTTTATTTGCTGAAAGTCCACCGGTCATGAAATCAACCGCGGGTGATTATTAATTACAATACTGTGAATAGACATAAAAGGTATATTTTGCCTTTATTAATTATTAATTTTGACTTCATATTCACAAAGAGTAATACCTAGTTCCATTCAAAGGTTGATAAAAGGCAGAGTGCTAGCTGATGTGAATAAACTCAGCAACCTGGTTGTACTTAAGCTATAATTTATCTTTATTTTTAGTTGTGAAGCTCCAGTTTATACAATAAAACATGTGTGGCAGAAAACGGAAGCCGATGCATCATTTAATTCATATTTGCTTCGTAATACTCCTATTTGGCAGAGCAATCAGCCCAAGTATAAGCCGAAAGAACACAGGATGTGCCACAACAGAAGGTATTAACTATGTGGCGGTATATACTATTTCCAGTTATGTTCAAACTTTCTTGCCCCAATTTTCAAGCCTAAGCTTTCAAAGTAAGGGTTGATGAAAAAACTACTGGAACAATGTATAGTGTAAGTAGTCCGGCTACCAATGATTATATATTTGGTCCGTATCGTTTTACCTCGTGAAAATTGAGAATTTGTAGGTAGCTTTCGTTGAGGAAGCAAACTTGCACTCACCAGTTGTGTTATAAAATGTTACTGCTGTG